AAACATATTCTACTATCCAAATGACTGACTTGCAAATAAACTTTTGTTGTGTCCTTAAAAAAAAAAAAAGAACGCCAGGCGTGGTGGCTCACGCCTATAACCCTAGCTCTCTGGGAGGCCGAGGCGGGCGGATTGCTTGAGGTCAGGAGTTTGAAACCAGTCTGAGCGAGACCCCATCTCTACTAAAAATAGAAAGAAATTAATTGACCAACTAAAAATATATATATACAAAAAATTAGCCGGGCATGGTGGCGCATGCCTGTAGTCCCAGCTACTCGGGAGGCTGAGGCAGGAGGATCGCTTGAGCTCAGGAGATTGAGGTTGCTGTGAGCTAGGCTGACGGCACGGCACTCACTCTAGCCTGGGCAACAAAGTGAGACTCTGTCAAAATAAAAAAGAAAGAAAGAAAGATAGAGAGAGAAAGACAGAAAGAGAGAGAGGGAAGGAGGAAGGAGGGAAGAAGAAGGGAGGAAGGAAAGAAGGAAGGAAGGAAGGAAAAGAAGAAAGCAAGAAAGCAAGCAAGAAAGAAAGAGAGAGAGAGAAAGAAAGAAGAAAGAAGAAAGAAAAGAAAAGAAAGAAAAGGTACAGTGCTGTCTTGGAGCTCTGGGGGCAGCAGATAACCACAGCAAGGCAGAGCAGGTATGGTCACTCTTGGCTAGAACCATCACCCAAAACTTCAAAAGGCAGCATTTACATCATCAAAATGTAAAAGGCCTATGACCTAGCGGTTCTACATTGCAGTATTCTACAGATACAATTTGTACATGTGTAAAATAAAGTATGTAAAAAGGCTAAATAGCTCGAGGCTGCAATCCCAGCCAGGAGTTTGGGAGCAACCTGGGCTCTCTTTCTCTAGTGAAAACCCGCCTCTACAAAAAATTAAAAAATTAGGTGATGGCCAGTAACAGGTGGCACGTGCCTGTAGTCCCATCTACTTGGGAGGCTGGGGTAGGAAGACAGTTTGAGCCCAGGAGTTCAAGACTGCAGTGAGCTATGATCATGCCGTTGCACTCCAGTCTGGGCAACAGAGCAAGACCCTCTCTTTAAAAAAAAAAAAACTTGCTATAGCAGTTTACAATAGCCAAACACAGGAAACAATCCTAAATGTCCTGCAATGGTGACTGATTAAATGAATTGTGATCCTTTCACATAAGGAGCACCATGTAGCTATTTTTTTTTATTTATTTTTTATTTATTTATTTATTTATTTTTTTTTAAGCCAGTCAAATTTAAACCATGTAGCTATTAAAAAGAATGAAGCAGGCCGGGTGCGGTGGCTCACGCCTGTAATCCTAGCACTCTGGGAGGCCAAGGCGGGCAGATTGCTTGAGGTCAGGAGTTCAAAACCAGCCTGAGCAAGACCCCGTCTCTACTATAAATAGAAAGAAATTAATTGGCCAACTAATATATATACAAAAAATTAGCTGGGCATGGTGGCGCATGCCTGTAGTCCCAGCTACTCAGGAGGCTGAGGCAGCAGGATTGCTTGAGCCCAGGAGATAGAGGTTGCTGTGAGCTAGGCTGACGGCACGGCACTCACTCTAGCCTGGGCAACAAAAGCGAGACTCTGTCTCAAAAAAAAAAAAAAAAAGAATGAAGCAGCTCTACATGTGCTGATGTAGAATGAGTTACAAGATAAATGTAGTTAATAAAAAAGAGACAACAGAATAGCATACCTAGTATGACAGCATTTGTATTAAGTATAATAAATACACCTGTCTATTTGCAAGTGAGTTGACTACAACTGGAAGGATACACAGGAGACTGCTGCAGGCACCACTCCAGAACCTGGAGGCTAGAGGACAGCAAGGGAAGAGTTAGTGTACTGTGCATCTTTTTGAACGTTTTGAATTTTGCACTGTGTATACTTTACAATTCATGTTTTCTTTTTGTTTTTCTAAAAGTAACCTGGGAAAATAATTCATGTTTTCAAAACTTAAAAAAAAAAAAAAGTTTGGAAACAAACAAGCTTCCTTACTCACCCCTCCCATTCTGGTCTTGTGGTCCAGGTTAGCTACAGGGTGGGGATGGGGACAGCATTTGGACCCTGGCAGCAAGAGAATAAAGCTGGAGGTAGCCTTACTTAAGTTTCTGGGCATTTGGGCAGCCCACCTGTGGTTTCCTCTCCAGGATCTCAGATCTAGAGCCCCAGAGGATGTGGATCTGATCCATCTTTGCCTCACTCTTAGTACTTGGGCATACCCTTGGAAAAAGGAACAGGAATTACTGCCTTTATTTAATAGATGGAAAACACTGAGGCCCAAGGAATGGGAGGAAGGAAGTAATAGTTCACCACATTTGCTCACCCATTATTTGCTGGGACAGGTTCAGATTTTATAATTTCCACTCATTTAAGGACTGAGGTATTTAGACTTTGTTAGGGATGTCCCCCCTGAAGAGCATTATCTTGTTCAAAGCAGTAATCTGTTCTTCCCTCTTCTTACTGTAGGCAATTTGCTTCACCTGCAGTTTACTTACCTTTTAATTCAGTCCTTTGGAGTTTAAGACTGTGTCTCTGCCTTCTCTCCTGCCTGTGTCCACCAAACTCCTATCCAGCCTTCCCTCCCGTTCCTCTTAGAAGACAGCTTATTCTTCCCAAAGAAAAGACCAGCAGACAGGAATTACCTTAATTCTCACACCTAGGCACTGTCTGGGCACATAGGAGGGTCTTATAGAGCAAGCCAGACAGTTAAGTCCTCTTCCCGCAGAGCCTACACTCTGGTGTGCGTACACGTAGGCCACTAGTTTCCCAGGTACCCACTCTTACCTTTATTCTCAAATTGGTATGGACCAGGAGGTGGGCCCTCTCTCAAGCTGGTCTCCCCACCATCCCATTTCTTTTCTGTTCTTCTAAGTCTCCCTCTACTGGCTCATTCCCCATAGGCTGTAAGAATATTACTCTCTCCCCACCCCCAAGCTTATTATGTGCCCTCAAAAAAAAATACATGCATTATCTCCTTTAGTGTGTAACTCAAGAGGCAAGTACTGTTATTATCCTCACTTTATAGATAAACTGGGATGACAGAGCAGGGTCTCAATTTAAATCCTACCTCCTCCACTTACTAGCTACATGACCCTGGACAAATTAATTTACCTCTATGTCCCAGTGATAACTTTTTCACAAGGTTATTTTGAAAAGCAAATAAATTTATAAAGAACTGGAATAGTGCCTGGCACTTAATAAGCATTACATAAGTATTAGCTATTGTTGCTCTGCCCCAGACTGACTCCAAAGCAATGCCATGTGAACTATATGGGCTTTCCCTACTGCTGCTTCTCCCTAACTACTTCTCATCCATCTAACAGATAATTTTCACTCTACTGTGTGACAGGCAATGCTTTAGGCAGCAGCAATACAGCAGAAAACGGTCTGTGTTCTCAAGGCTGGGCAGGGGCAGACAGACAGTAAACAGAGAAGAAAAATATCAGGTAGTGCTAAGTACCCACAGAGGACTGAATTAGGGTGGTGTGATGGCAGGTCTCTGGGAGGCATTTTTCATTTGAGAGCTGGGGAAGGCTTAGGAAGAGTTGAGATATGAATGAGAAAGTTGCCAGCCATGCCACTATTGCCAGAATTCATTCCAGTCACTTCATCACATCCACTGCTCATCTCTCCAGCCTCTATGAATGCCCTAAGCCTGCTCTGATTGAAAATAGATGGTCTTATTCCACCACGTCTTGGGGTGGTGCTTTCTGTCCTCATCCTCCAGAAAGTATCCCTTTGGCCCCCATCCAGTTGAGTTCAAAGTGTGAACCTCCTCAGGAGGCTTTCCATAGACCATCAGAAAACAAGGTGGGGCCCACAAAACTGTTCCTAGCCTCCTGCCCCACTGGGTAGCTGTGGGTTTCCTATACTCAGTCTCAGGAGTGTGCTAGAAAGAATTGCAAAATAACTTGATTGCTCATAAGAATCCCCTGTGGCCTTGTTAAAATACAAAATCCTGGGCCCCAACACAGGCTTCTTTAATTTGAATCTCCAGAGGTGATACCTAGCTGAAGGTACCTGGTTCTGGAGGAACAATTAGATACCAGATGCCCAGGATATATCCCAGGCAGGCTTTAAAATGAAGGAAGGTGCTCTGGTTTCCCAAGTCTCGCACCAGTTAAGTTCCACCCATATGGTCACGCACTGAGTAACTGGCAAAAGCTTAATGCAAAGACAATCTTCAGCGCCTGTGCCATCAAGGGAACCTCTCCTTTGGCTCTCTTGACATACCCCTGGAGCACCTGGTGACACTGATCCCGCAGGCACATTTTAATGGGTGAACTTGTGAGTGGCCAAAGGTCCGGCTCTGCGGTGAGCCTGCCCAGGTCTCTCCCCCAACCCCAGTCGCAATGCCCTGTGACCACCAGACGCTTATTTCTCCCAGGCTGTTACCCATTAGGGGGAATACCCACCGCATGAGGTTACTCTGGCATTTAATGGGAGGTTGTGTACTACTCACAGTAACCCTACGAATATACGCGATTGACTTTATTTACAGCTCTCAGGAGGCTGCCTCAGGCACGTGGCCCGGGAGGGAATCACTGCAGCCAGGGGGATGGCTTTGGCCCCAAGTTCGTCGGCCGGCAGGGCTAAGCTGTGCCTCGGAAGGGGCCGCCGTGAACTTTGCGGTTCCCGAACTTCCGGCGCTAGCGGGCTCATCAGCAGGAAAACCGGCCGGACTCCTTTCTCCAGGGCCGCCAGGAGGACTGGCGTGGAGTGCCGGGGCCGCGCGTGGGGTCTCTGAGGAACTCCAAGGCCGCCGGAGCCTACAAGACCAGACCACATTCGGGACCAAAGGTCCCCGAGCACCCCGAGCACCCCACGCTCAAAATTCCCATCTCACCGCGCAGGCCGGGACCCGCGCGCCCGCCGCCCAATCAGCGCCCGCCTGGCACAATGCGAGTCCCGCCCCAGGGCGCCGCCGCCGAGCCCTCCCCTCCCCCGCCGGCCTCGGCCCGCCCACTCCCGCCCGCGCCCCGCCCCGCGCCGTTCTAGGTTAGAGGCTCGCAATTGGCTCCTGGGGACGGGCGCGGGCTCTGGTTGGTCGAAGCGGAGTCACAAGGGCGCCGTCGTCGCCTTTCCAGAGGCGATTACTGGGCAGGCTCAGTCTTTCGCCTCAGTCTCGAGCTCTAGCTGGCAGCGAGGCGTACGTGCTCCGGGATCCTCTGTGCCCGTAGCCGCCGTCGACGTCGCCTAGTTCCTCTAGGTTTGTCTCCGCCACCTGCCCGATACATACTCCGCCGTCATAAGCCGCCATCATGGTGAAGCTCGCTAAGGTAAGAGGCCTCGCGCGCAAGCACGGACATTTGGGCCTGCGTTCCGAGGGGCGCGCGCGCGGCGCCGCGGGGAGGGAGGCCTGCGCGCAGTCCCGGGCGCGTTCGAGGGCGCCATGCTGGGGGGAAGTCTCGCGCGACAAGCTGGGAGTTCTCGCGGCTTTTGGCTACTTGGTGGCGAGGTGGAGAGCTTTGGCAGGTGCTGGGGGTGGTGAAAGCGGCGGGGAAAGACTAAGGCGATGCGCGCGAGGAGGGGGCGCTGGGCCTCGGGGCGGGCAGGATGAGGCCAAACTCCTGCGACGAACACGAACTGGGCCCCGCCTCCTGGCGCACGTGTCCCGGAGCGCGGCCCACCACGTGGGCCCGGCCGCGTGGGCCCCAGAGTCTCGGAAGAGGCCGGTGTCCTAAGGCGGGAAACGGTGCGATGGGCCCTAGTGGGAGGCTCAGTGGCCTCCGGGACCTTTCCGCCCCAGCCAGGCTAGCGGACACGTGGCAGGCCCTTTAAGGAGGCTGTGCTTTTTGCACCTGGCTGTGCGCACATGGTGGCCTACCGAGTACCCCCACGTGGCCCCGCCGGGTCTGGAAGGGGCGGGGTTGTCTCGCTGGGAAAGGAAAACTTCGTAATACCAAAGGCACTTATTTTTAAAAGGCGATTTAAAAAATAAAAGGGTCTTAAAGATTTTCAATCTTAAGTTGGATTCAGACGAGGGTGGTAGAGTGAAGTGCCAGAATTGAATAGTTAGCGGGAAAAATAGTCCAGTTGCAGGCCACTGGTTATTAATAATTGTGCATGATGTGCATAACTAAGGCAACAGGAAGAGAAATTATTTCAGGTTGCCTTTTTATCTTGAAGTTTGGTTTTCTGTTAGTAAAACCTGACAGGAAAACGTGTGGGAATTTGAAGTATTGTATTGCATATCAAGAATAGTCTTTGTTGTGCTATTTAGCATTATGAAAAATGGATTCTGAGAAAGGAGATTATTGCATTTTACGATGTAGAATGATAACAAAATATGTTTCGCTGGAAAAGTTGATGAGAGTGCAGTGTTCTACTTGTGTCCATTTTTTCAGGCAAGTAAAAATCAAGGTGACCCCAAGAAAATGGCTCCTCCCCCAAAGGAGGTAGAAGAAGATAGTGAAGATGAGGAAATGTCAGAAGATGAAGATGATGACAGCAGTGAAGAAGAGGTAATTATTTATGTCCACTTAATGCAGAGTTGTGTTGAAACTACAAAATGTAGAGTTAAAACAAAGTCATGTGGGTATTTGAGTTTGAGACACATGAGATCTAGGAGTTTGCTTTTCACATGCCCTCTGCAGGGCTTGACCTGTGTGATAAGTTGTGTTAAATCGTTACATTATCCAGTTTCAACATGTTATCGATAGCCTCATGGGCTAGAAAGGGAAAGGTATATTTTATAAAATAAGTGGCAGAGCTGAACATTGTCCTCAGATCTGAGGATAACAGTAGCAGATTCTTTTCCTGCACTCCAAGCAAGATTTATTGGTCTCTATTCCACTATATATGAGCTTAGTAACACTAATTGCTGTGTTATAATTGTCTCTGGTATAGATTAGCACTTCCTAGGTATTGTTTGCTCACTATAAAGACAACTAACCACTTAAATATGCTCAGTTTTCTTGTTTAGAGTTTAGTAAAAGTTTTATTCTTCCACATACTGGTAAAACTAGTAATTGAAAAGCAGATTTGAGTGGGACTTAAATGTAGATAAATGATGGTTGTTTTTGTCAGGCTAACATGCTCACTCTTTGTGCTATAATTTGGCAAGGGTTATTCAGCATGGCTATTTGAACTTCGTTTTACTTTTAGTCCTGAGAACTGAGCATTTGTTGGGCTCTTTCACCATATTTAGGAACCCCAGATGATTTATTAATAGTCAACACAGCTTTCTGTGTTCTTTTTGTTATTCTGTTTTGAATAATATACATATGTTCTTCATCCTCAAATTACATTTATGGTTGATAACGATTCTCACTTTCAAATGAGAAAGCTGAGGTTTGAAAAAGTATAAGGTAGAATTCCACAGGTTTAGAAAGTTTGTTTATGCTTGGGTATTTTACTTGATAATAAGAACTATGATTTATAACATGACATCTATGACATATAACAAGGCTCTGGAATTTAACATGCTATTATTATGTACCTAATGCCTGTGGCACTGAGGCAGTGTCAGATTCACTTATTGGGACCATGGCTGTCTTTTGGAGTGTGGGGGCAGACTTACATTGGTTTTTTTAAAAAATTATTATTTTTTTAATTCTTAAGGTTATCATCCCTCAGAAGAAAGGCAAGAAGGCTACTGCAACCCCAGCAAAGAAGGTGGTGGTTTCTCCAACAAAAAAGGTTGCAGTTGCCATACCTGCGAAGAAAGTAGCTGTCACCCCAGGCAAAAAGGCAGCAGCCCCACAGGCCAAGAAGATGGTTACACCAGCCAAAGCAGTTGTTACACCTGGCAAAAAGGGAGCCACACCAGCCAAAGCACTGGTAGCAACCCCTGGTAAGAAGGGAGCTGCCACCCCAGCCAAGGGGGCAAAGAATGGCAAGAATGCCAAGAAGGAAGACAGTGATGATGAGGAGGATGACAGCGAGGAGGACGATGAAGATGAGGATGATGATGAAGATGAGGAGGAGGATGAATTTGAACCAGTGGTGATTAAAGCAGCAGCTGCTGCCCCTGCATCAGAGGATGAGGATGATGAGGATGATGAAGATGAAGAGGATGAGGATGAGGAGGATGACGAAGAAGATGGTAAGACATTCTCTAGGTAGTTACTAAGATATTGTGAGATGAGGTTCTAGAAGCAACACTACATACACTTTCTATGACAACATGGAGATTAGATGAGAATCCTGGAGACTCTGGGCTGTTGTATGCCAAGCTCTACTACCAGTGAATGATTTCCTGCCCCTGAAGAAATGCTTGTCAACAGTACCTTCTGTGAGCATTTTTCACAATGTAGGTTTTTGCTCCCAAGTGATCTGTCAATTCTTTCCATAACTGAAAACTAAGCATGGTGGGAAGATTGTGTTTCTTTTCCTTTAGGTCTTCTCAGAACTAATGTTAGCTTTTGGAGATTTCTCTTATAGGTTTTGACTAAGTGGCTTGTCTTTCAGACTCTGAAGAAGAAGCTATGGAGACCACACCAGCCAAAGGAAAGAAAACTGCAAAAGCTGTAACTGTGAAAGCTAAGAGCACGCCTGAGGATGAAGATGAAGAGGAGGAAGATGAGGATGAGGATGACGACGACGATGATGAAGATGATGAGGACGATGATGATGAAGACGAGGACGAGGAGGACGAGGAGGAAGGTAACTAGATTCAATTCTGAGGTATATTGACCTGAGTTATGTTTAAAGGGGGTATTTAGGTATATGTAGCTACTCATGGGTGACACATTGTTTGAAATCTTGTCTAGAGCCTGTCAAAGAAGCGCCTGGAAAACGAAAGAAGGAAATGACCAAACAGAAAGCAGCTCCTGAAGCCAAGAAACAGAAAGTGGAAGGTAACTAGCAGAATTTTGGGGAATGTGAGAGGAGATAAAGTCAAATTAGCACAGCTGATGAATGACAAAGGGACTTAATACTGAAACCTGATGTTACACTATAACGTGCTGATGTGCTATACATAGAAATTTTATACTAGAAATTTTGTGCCATGTTTTACAAATAGATTGATATTTCAATTTTTTGTATAGCCACAGAACCAACTACATCTTTCAATCTCTTTATTGGAAATCTGAACTCTAACAAATCTGCTCCCGAATTAAAAACTGGTATCAGTGATGTTTTTGCTAAAAATGATCTTGCTGTTGTGGATGTCAGAATTGGTATGACTAGGTAAGTGCTTCACTGCACATTACAAATGAAGTCCGCTAATGCTTTTCTCCTCCCTTGCTATAACTGTTACATTAGCCAGTCACAGGAATTTAGTGTTTATATTCTTCCAAATACCTAATCGATTAGACCTCTGAATAGTCAGCATAGTAAATGCTTTTATTCAGACAGGATTCTCCTTTCTTAGTGCTTTATGTAGGTTTTTTTGTTAGCTACTACTATTAAGTGGTATAAGCAATTTAGCAGATTCGTCAAAGGTGAATTTGCATGTGATGTCTTGGTATAATATAGACCTTGTTCTATAGCCACAATTTGCACAATCTTTATTTTGTCAGTAAAATACTGTAGGTACTTTTTTACTTGATCTTTGTAATGTCACATTTGCCCAGAATACATGAGTAGCTTCTACTTGTTTCACCTGTAATTTTGCCCTCCTCTTCACTTTAAAGAAAATTTGGCTATGTGGATTTTGAATCTGCTGAAGACCTGGAAAAAGCTTTGGAGCTCACTGGTTTGAAAGTCTTTGGCAATGAAATTAAACTAGAGAAACCAAAAGGCAAAGACAGTAAGAAAGGTATGTAAGGCTTTGGGAGATTGTTCTCCCAATGTATCTAGAAGTCATAGTCTAATGTAGGGAAAATGCTTTGTAACTTTTCTCCCTTGGTGTGTGTTGATGGGAGAATTAAAACACTTTATTGTGTTTGCAGTAGTACTTGACACTGCTTGCTGGTATTGTAATATGAATTCCTGAATCAGGCCAGCAGGAATACTTATTTAGAAAAAGGATTATTAGATTCACCTAAAATAATATACAGGAACCTTTCTTCACTGAAACTGTATTTGGTCCCTTATTACTCTCTTTGAATCGTTTATTTTCCTCTATACACTTATGTTTTAAAGTGGTGTGTTCCTGGTTTTTAAAATTCAGAGATAACGAGCATCTACCTTAGATGGAGTTTGACATCAGCTGTGATAACATGGAGGGGACCCACTTGTATTTTGCCATGTCTGTATCTCCATACTTAGCACAGAGCCATGTACATCATAAGATCTCACATTATTTGTTGAATAGAACTGCCTTTTTTTTTTTTTTTTTTTTTGAGACAGAGTCCCTGTTGTCAGGGGTAGAGCGCCGTGGCGTCAGCCTAGCTCACAGCAACCTCAAACTCCTGGGCTCAAGCAATCCTTCTGCCTCAGCCTCCGGAGTAGCTGGGACTATAGGCATGCTCCACCATGCCCGGCTAATTTTTTTATATATATATTAGTTGGCCAATTAATTTCTTTCTATTTATAGTAGAGACGGGGTCTTGCTCTTGCTCAGGCTGGTTTTGAACTCCTGACCTCGAGCAATCCACCCACCTCAGCCTCCCAGAGTGCTAGGATTACAGGCGTGAGCTACCGTGCCCGGCTTAGAACTGCCTTTTATGGTTTTTTTTCCCCCTCTTTGGTCTTGTAGGCCATGCAGCTCATTTTTGTGTGTGTTTGTTTTTTAATCTAGATCGAGATGCCAGAACACTTTTGGCGAAAAATCTTCCTTATAAAGTCACTCAGGATGAATTAAAAGAAGTGTTTGAAGATGCTCTGGAGATCAGATTAGTCAGCAAGGATGGGAAGAGTAAAGGGTATGTTTTGTCTATTGAAATGTTAGAGTTTTATTAAAATTAAGGCACTGCCCTGCTTTTTTAAAGCAGTGTTGGTCCAGTTTTCCTTGGTGTGTGATCTCTGGTAGTTTTACCCCTAAACCTGTGTCTCAATTTCCCTTCTGTGCAGCAGAGATAACATACCTGATTTATATGGTGATTTTGAAAGATGAGCTGTTAACATGTAAAAGGAGTAAGGAAATGTGCCTAGCTTATAAGTGCTTTGGAGGTGCCAGGTGCTGCAGTGAGGTGAGGTTAACATGAAAAGATTTTTGAGACAGAGTCTTGCTTTGTCATCCTGGGTAGAGTACAGTGGCATCATAGCTCACTGCATGCAACCACAAACTTCTGGGCTCGAGTGGTCCTCATGCTTCAGCCTCCCAAGTAGCTGGGATTATAGGTGTATGCCACAACACTGGCTAATTTTTCTATTTTTAGTAGAGACAGGGTTTTGCTCTTGGTCAGACTGGTCTCAGATCTCCTGAGCTCAAGCAATCCTCCCACCTTGGCCTCCCAGAGTGCTGGGATTATAGGTGTGAGCCACTGTGCCAGGCAGGCCTGAGAAGATTTTCTAAGAGTATTTGTCAAACTTTGTAGTGGCAGGTAAAAGGGAAGCTCAGGTTTTAATTGAAAATTACAGGATACAAGAATCTAATGCCTGACGATCTAAGGTGAAGCTGAGGCAGTGATGCCAGCACTGCAGAGCAGCTGCAAATATAGATTATCATTACCAGAGAGGTGTCACTGCATAACAAACATAACGTGCTTGAATCATCCCAAAACTATCCCCTCCCCCTGCCCTGCGTAAATAAAAAAAATAAAGTACAAGATAGGGGAAACTTGGAATGTGTCAGTGAGCATTGAACTAAAGGTATTTATTATACTCAGCTGAAACAAGGTCTGTGTTAGATTAAAACATTTGTGTTCTTTCCCCCTGCCCATTGCAGAATTGCTTATATTGAATTTAAGACAGAAGCTGATGCAGAGAAAACCTTTGAAGAAAAGCAGGGAACAGAGATTGATGGGCGATCCATTTCCCTCTACTACACTGGAGAGAAAGGTCAAAGTCAAGACTATAGAGGTGGAAAGAATAGCACCTGGAGTGGTAAGAATTCATAGGCTTTTTACATGGTTCCAGCACTTATGGAGGGAAATCTTTTGTGTCTTTGTATTTCATAAGTTTAAGTACTAATCAGTAAAGGTTAATTAAATTGATGCAGTTGAAGATTAAGCAAGTTATACCCCTAGTTATGTCCTTACTTGTAGTACTACTCTCTAGTCCCTTGAATGAGAGCTGAAATCCTTTTGTGTTGGATATGGTAAGCAAATGCTTCCTTTTTTATGATTTAAAGCAGGGGTCCCCAACCTTTTTGGCACTAGGGACCAGATTCATGGAAGGCAGTTTTTCCACTGAAGGGGTGGTGGGCAGGCATAGCTCAGGTGGTTACAGGCGGCCTGGTTCCTAACAGGCCATGGACTGGTACTGGACCATGACCCGGGGACTGGGGACTGCAGCTTGAAATGACTTAGACCATGTGTGCTCTGAACTCAGATTACTGTTGTTGGGAGACGTAGACCAGTAGTCAACCTATACATAAAGGACAATAAGCAGGACATTACAGTACATGATGGGTACTCAGTGTGGTAAGTAATAGAAGTGGGATTTATTTCACTTTCATCAGTGTTGGCATGTTAACTTCCCAAGCACTGAAGTTCTTCAGAACTGTGACTAAGGCCAGGAGCCACTGCTTCAAAGTCAGACTGTGGGCATCTCTTTATTTGCAGGTGAGTCGAAAACTCTGGTTTTAAGCAACCTCTCCTACAGTGCAACAGAAGAAACTCTTCAGGAAGTATTTGAGAAGGCAACGTTGATCAAAGTGCCCCAGAACCAAAATGGCAAATCTAAAGGGTAAAATAATATCTTTATACTGTCACCTGTAGGCTGTTAGGACTGTTTTGAATCGTTTTAGCTGTGCAGATCAGTGTAAAGCAGCATGTAATAATAGCTGCTTGAGGGGAAAGATTTGGTGGTATATCATAGATTAGTGGGAGAGCCAGGTGCTTGGTCATTTATTTGAACTCATAACTGTTTGTCCTCAGGTATGCATTTATAGAATTTGCTTCATTTGAAGATGCTAAAGAAGCTTTAAATTCCTGTAATAAAAGGGAAATTGAGGGCAGAGCAATCAGGCTGGAGTTGCAAGCGCCCAGGGGATCACCTAATGCCAGAAGTCGTAAGTTCCTATTGACAATACTGTGGTTGGTGGGTGGCACTCTCTCTTAGTGCTTTGCTTGAACTTGTGTATGTCAGTGTTTACTTTGACCAGGTTCCATTTTTTTTCTTGTTGCTACTGAGTGAATGATAACTGGATATGATGACTGATTACCTGAGAAATAATTGATGAAATTTCAAGAAAATTCCTCTAGATAGTCAAGTTCTGATCCAGCTGTGTCAACTCAGAGCAGCAAATTGGCCTGTGATTTACTGCCCTAGATGGTGGGCAGCACTCTGTTTTGGTTGTTTCTCCCACATTCCATAAAAGATCTGGGGCGGATTTCAGTTAGGCCTGGTAATAAAAAAGGGCTGTCAATGTTAGCCCTTTAATTAAGCGTTAGTTGGCTATGGTGCTTTTAACTGCTTTCTCCACTAAGGCAAGCATTCTTGGCCAGTGGTCATACTAGGCATTGTGCAAATTCAGTGTCATGAATTGTGACTTAATAAAAAGGTGCAATTTTTATTTTTCTTCCCCAGAGCCATCCAAAACCCTGTTTGTCAAAGGTCTGTCTGAGGATACCACTGAAGAGACATTGAAGGAGTCATTTGATGGCTCTGTTCGTGCAAGGATAGTCACTGATAGGGAAACTGGATCCTCCAAAGGGTAAGGTGCAGTGAATGTGCAGCGTTGCCTCCACTCCCAGGGTCTCTATGCTGTGTAGAGATCTCACGTGTCTTCTCATTGAGCTCCGTTCTGTCTCTTGGTGGCAGTTTATGGATTCGCACGAGAAGAAGAAGAATTCACAGAACTTAGCATTATTTTACCTTCTTTTTTTTATGGAGGTATATTTGGCTGTTTTGTGAGACATTCTGGGGTTTTGGCAGTCACTTAAACCAGTTAAAAATGTCCATAGAGAGCTACTCTGTCACTTTGGGCTTTTCCTGGCTAAGCAAGGCTGCTTTCTGTGGAACGGCTGTCCAACATATGAGGTTAACTCAGCACTTGTTCAGTATGTGCTTGCTTTATAATGGGTAATTTGATTTTTTAGGTTTGGTTTTGTAGACTTCAACAGTGAGGAAGATGCCAAAGCAGCAAAGGAGGCCATGGAAGATGGTGAAATTGATGGAAACAAAGTTACATTGGACTGGGCCAAGCCGAAGGGTGAAGGTGGCTTTGGGGGTCGCGGTGGAGGCAGAGGAGGCTTTGGAGGCAGAGGTGGTGGCAGAGGAGGCCGAGGCGGATTTGGTGGCAGAGGCCGGGGAGGCTTTGGAGGTAAGGCACAGGGGTGACCTCAGCATCTGTACTGATGAAACACTGTGTGGCATGTGCACTTCAGGCCCTGTGCTGTGTCAGGCAGGGTACTGGGTACCTGATCACTGGGGAGGAAATTGTGGGCCACTTTGTGCCTGTGCTTTAATGCTGTCTTGCCTTCCTGCAGGCCGAGGAGGCTTCCGAGGTGGAAGAGGAGGAGGAGGAGACCACAAGCCACAAGGAAAGAAGACGAAGTTTGAATAGCTTCTGTCCCTATGTCTTTCCCTCTTCCATTTGAAAGAAAGGACTCTGGGGTTTTTACTCTGTTACGTGATCAATGACAGAGCCTTCTGAGGACATTCCAAGACAGTATACAGTCCTGTGGTCTACTTGGAAATCCATGTAGATACCATTTCAAGAGCGATACCCTGTTGGTTTTGACTGGATATTCATATAAACTTTTTAAAGAGATGAGTGATAGAGCTAACCCTTATCTGTAAGTTTTGAATTTATATTGTTTCATCCCATGTACAAAACCATTTTTTCCTACAAATAGTTTGTTTTTGTTTTTCTGTTTTTTGGGTTTTTTTTGTGTGTGTTGGGGGGGTTGTAAAGGAAGGCAGAATGTTTTATCATGGTTTTTGCTTCAGCTTTAGGACAAATTAAAAGTCAATTCTGGTTGCCAGACTTGTTACTTCCTAAAGAGTGTTTCTCCTGGAATGTCACTGATGTCAGTCACTGAAGAGTGTGGCAAAGCCATCTCAGTCACTCAGTTCCACCCATCCTGATGGAAATGACCAATGTGTTGGTTTCTAGTATCCCAGCTCCCAGTTTGGGTGAAATGGCTTGTGGGGTGACATGGGAGGTGTGCCCGAAGCCTTCTGCGGCTTGTAGCAAGCCTGTGGATTGTGTACTGAACAAGAGCTCTGAAAGGGAGGCACTGGCACACATAAGGCCTCCTGAAATAAGGTGTTGGAACATCAATTCTAGAATGGCCAATGAGTAGAATTTATGCTAGATGAATGGACCAGTGGAGACTTCTGGACTATTTGTTGCCTTGGGATAAGGGGTATGAATAACTGATCCCCAAAAAAGCCTTTAGTTTCTCACTGTTATATTGCTCATTCTGTCTGGTCTTACTCAACACTCTCTGCCCCCACACCTCTGCTTTTAATAAAAGTCAAAAAGCCACATTAGAGATCTAGGTGAAGGGATTACTAGCATTTTGACAAACCTAGGCACCCAAGTCCAAAGCCGTACTAATCAGACAAGTGAAGTCAATAAAAGGTTATGTGGTTAGAAGGCAACCTGGAGACTGTAAGTGTGTGGTTTGTGTTTTCCCTGGTTGACTTTTTGTGTTGGGGAAATCTGAGAGCCTTGTGCTCATCGCCACCTGTCCTGTTCCAAGTACCGGGATGAGGGGGACAATGCTGTTATATGGCCCTCTTGCTCTAGAGGGGAAGATGGCCAGTGAAAGAGGTGCAGCTGTGAAGAAAAGGGGTGAGGGTCTCTTGTGATGCCAAGGTCAAAAGGCCTTTGGCAGCCTAAATTCTAGGAAGATGAGTTAAAAGCTTTGAGTCAATTGGAGCCCATCAAGGATGCCGTGGATTAAGTCTATTAAATTACAGCATGGCTGGTTAGTGCAAAAACATGAATTTACACTGGCAACACATCCGTCCCAGATAACTTGTTCAAGAAAGTCTGATATAGTTGGTTTCTATGCCTCCTAGAATCCATCGAATGGTGATTATAGGCTCCCTTCCCCATTATGCTGCAGTCTTCTCCCAGGCACATATATACATACTGTGGCTGGTTTCTTTGCTCAATCTTTGGCAGGCCTATGGGTTTAAGAGACCAAAATGCCAGTAAGCCATTTAGCCACCTTGGAACACGAGTCCAGTTCCCTCCTAGCTAGGCTGCAGCACAGCCACTGCTTGTTCTGCACTTGTGTGGCTTGGCAGAGCCTGTGGGAGTGCGTTTTGATGGGTTCCCCGGCTGCCTGGCAGGTAAGGCTTGAACTTCACTGTGCTCTCTAGCCTAATTGCAGGAAGAGTTCATGGCCCCCAGGCTAGGGTTTGCATTTGAAGTGTTAGAGGCCTGTCATCACAGTTGTTACTGATGCTCAGTGAGGTAGTCGTCGCGGCTGCCGGTGCTCCCTGTAGGTACCCTTCTATGAGCCTGCTGTGGGGCAAGACAGGGAAGTCAGGTTCCTGCCTCCAGATTGCTATCCTCTTCCTGTTCCTCAAGGGAAGGAAAGTCGAAATGGTCCACCCCTGTTAACTAGCGGTGTTCCAGTCAGGCGTGTGCTTATTTCCTGTAGAATGAAGATGAGGATGGAGAATAGTTACCCTGCAGGCAGAAAGAGATGTCGGGGCTTACAGTTAGGGATTGGAATCCTAAAATCACAGGGTTCCCCGTGCCTGTGTCTAGTTTCTGATTTGGTGGGTTTTGCAGCCATTTTAGAAAAGTGATCGGTTCTCTTCTGCAAATGGTTGTTGCCACGTGTCATTCTTCCAGCAGGTGGCAGCATGAGACCACAAGGATATGGGAACTCCTGACCAGGAAGTGTTCCGAGGGAAGCCTGGAGATGACCTGGCTTCGGGCCAATGAGTCTGCAAACTTGCCTTCAGCTTGCGGGTGGGCCGGGGAGGCTGCAGGAAGTGCTCTCAGCACACCTGGAGAGGTGCTGCAGGACCCCCAGAGAAGCGATTTCCAACTGGGTCAGCTGTATTGAAAGCTTGTCCTGTGTTCTTTCTTTGACTTACCCCATTATTTCCTTGTACCTCAATCTCAGCCTCCTCTCAGTCTAAAAAAGTACCAAAGCGTTTCTCACCCAAAAAGCCCCTGGTCCTGCCACCCCACACAGCTGTCCCCTTTTGCCTTCGTTGCCAAACTTTGAGTACGACCACACTCTAGCCTCCTGGCAGTGTGGTTTCTGTCCTCCCGCCCCCATCGTGCTCACTGAGGGTGCCAAGCCTAAAAGCTACCAAACGCAGCGGTCAGTCTGCCCTCAGTTCACCTGCCTCCCTGCAGCTGCTGACATGATTCCTCCTTCCTGCCTGAACTCCTCCTCCACCCCTAAAAACAGGCAGACAAACTACACGGTGACTCCATGACACCAGGCCTACGCGGAGAGGAAGGAAAAGAACAAATCCCCAGGGATTAGAGCCCTTCAACAGGCAAGTTCCGTACAATTGAGAGATGGGAGCCAATAGCTTTCCGCACTGATCTGTAACCAGCCCAGGAAGAGGGCAGGAGGGTTGCTCTCGTGCAGACCTACATGGAAACATGAAAAGGGCACACCTGCTTCCACCTGCCTGCTGGGGGGACTGGGTTTGTTCACGGAGCTGTCGCCAGAGCCTAAAGGATTGCCTGCTACATAGTAGGTACGCAGCAACTTAACGAAGAACCCTGGGAAATACCTTCCCCCGACTTGGGGGTCTGGTAGCAGCAGGAGGGTATCTTTGGGCCAGCCTTTTGTCAACGGAAAAAAACCAAACTCTAAAATAATTTTAAAGAGGTTTATTCTGAGCCAAATTTGAGGACCATGACCTGGAGCCACTCCCAAGAAGGCTTGAGCAAGTGGACTCCATGTGGTTAGGTTACAGTTCAGTTTTATACATTTCAGGGAGACAGGGGTTACAGGTAAAGTCATAAGTCAATATGTGGGAAGCATACATTGGTTTGGTCCGAAAAGGTGGGCGAAGGGGGGCAGCTTACAGGTTATAGGGTGGGTTTAAAGATTGCTTGGCTTGTAATTGGTTAAAGACATGAAGCTCTGTCTAAAGGCTTGGAATGTTTCAACATAAGGAGCTGTTATCAGAGATAAGCCAAGGACATAGATTTGTTGTGTAAATTGAGGACCTGCAGGTTTGTCTAGCATACCCTTAGGCCTGTTAATGGGTTACAAAGGCTGTCCCCAAGAGGGGAAGGGGGCATGATAAGGCATGTCTGACCTCCTTCCTCCTGGCCGGCAATTTAGTTTTAGGATATTGAGGGGGTCCATTTAGTCAGCTGGTGGGGATGGGGTGAGCCTTAAAATGTTATTTTAGTTCACACTTTCTTAATATATTTAAGTTCTTAATATTTTAGTGCCAAGGTTCTTTGGGGAGTCTGATGAAGCCTTTGAACCCTTCTCAGAATAATGTTTTCAAAATCATTTTTAACATAGAAAAGGAATACAAAGAAGATGGATTGCATTGAAATACGATTATTAAAATATTTGAGCATAACTTTTGTGATAGAATTATAGATGTGTTCATTAATGGATTAGAAAACAGTTACATGGAAAACAGTTTATACTGGGACGTTTGGTTCTGATAGTGATGGGGAGTGGCTTAGAACAGACAAACCCTCCTGTTGATGACTGCTATAAGCTCTGAGCAAAATATTTAAAAATCAGCTTTTGGCAGCGTTGGAGGACAGACAATACCAGATAGAAAGTGGAGCAGCTGCCATCCTTGAAAGAAGGTGAGCACCCTGGGTGAGACCCAGGCATGGCCAGCACTCCCTGCGGGCATTCCCCAGTTTGCAGAACTCCTGGGGGAGAGAGAGGAAAGTAGAAGTGTTACTGTACTGAGGAATCAAGTTTGGAGTGTGAGTCTGGAAATTTTGGGAAATCATGAAAATGAGACAGAGGAGAAAGCCTTAAAATCTGCATACAGCCAGGCGTGGTGGCTCACGCCTGTAATCCTAGCACTCTGGGAGGCTGAGGTGGGCGGATTGCTCGAGGTCAGCAGTTCGAAACCAGCCTGAGCAAGACCCCGTTTCTACTAAAAATAGAAAGAAATTAATTGACCAACTAAAAAAATATATATACAAAAAATTAGCCGGGCATGGTGGCGCATGCCTGTAGTCCCAGCTACTTGGGAGGCTGAGGCAGGAGGATCACTTGAGCCAGGAGATTAAGATTGCTGTGAGCTAGGCTGATGCCACGGCACTCACTCTAGCCTGGGCAACAAAGTGAGACTCTGTCTCAAAAAAAAAAAAAAAAAATCTGTATACAAATGGCCTTCAAATTCTTGCCTGATTCCTACCTAAATTGCGCGTGTGCAGGGCGAGATTCCAGTGAGCCCAGGGGAAAACAATGACAGTGAAAGGTTCAAGAATTGGCTAAAGGTTTCAGAAGCCACCTGCTGCTGCACACCACCTGCTGCTAAACAGTTTGGAGTTCAAGTTCTGCCCTGTTAAAGGGGGTTGATAAACACCTCAAGCTTTTCACTTAAAGGGCCATACTTGAGAAGTAAGAGCCATGTTCCAGGCCTAAGGACTAAGATGTAGGACTAAAGAGAAAATGCAAAACCAAAAGAGACTCACTTTATTAAGCCTAAAACTAAAGCTCCCACACAATCAAGGTGATCTGTCAATAATTTAATTGTCTATTAGAACAAAATTCAACAATGTCGAGAGGAAGATAACAGAATCCAGACTCTATCAGGTACAACGTCCAGTAAGCAAAAACTTATTGGATATGCAATGAAACAGGAAAATGTAGTCCACAATTAAGAGAAGAAAAGGTCAACACAACTCCTATGTTGAAATTTGCAGGCAAGGACTTTATTCATTATAAATATGTTAAAGAATTTATAGGAAAATATGAATATATTGAATGAAAGATGGGAAATTTCTGCAGAGATATAGAAACTCTAAATAAAGAACTGAATGGAAATCCTAGAACTGAAAAATAG